CCGGTTATACAAATGTTACTGTTATGATCCTGTCAGTTTATTGCACAGATATCCAGTTTTAAATATTTAGCAGACGGTATGTAACTCAGATTTTATTCTGGGAGGGTGACGTATAAAGTACAGTAGGAATGAAGAAAAATACCTACTTCACACCCATAAACACGCCAGCAGATATTCAACATAATAAATAATACAAAGTATATAGAATAAAACTACTTTTATAAAGTAAAGAATTAAATATATATGTGAAAACAAAGTTAAACTCATAATAGAATTTCCTATTGGTCACACAAGTTGATCACGAAACAAAGACGGAAACATAAATCATTGTCTCAAATACTGTTGTCACTTTGTGATAGTTACAAGCCAATTGTTTGTATAATTATAATAATTTTATATACTTTATAGTCAATTGAAGTTTATCTTTAACTTCTGTTTGTAATCTTTGTTAATTTTACTTACATTTTTTTACGTAAAACAATTATAAAGTTTTCAGTAATACAGCATATTTAACAATGACTGTTCTAAAATTGTTAAGATAATTGTTCTGAAAGAATAGACTAAGAAGTAGAAGTTTTAAGGTGACTTCAGAGAATTGAAATTACAATAATTCCTTTATCTCCTTTAACACACTTTATCAGTGTTGATTAAGTGTTATCTAAACTGAGAATTTATTATATAATGTCATTCAATAATTCGGTATTATTTTTCTTGACATAGAAATTGAAGTGTCAATTAACATTATCTTTTATAAAATGTTATTCTTTTAATTAATGATCTTTTCCATCCTGAAGACACTTTTTCCATGCTCGAGGAGGAAGCAAACGGGGCATTTGTCCCGTTTGCTTTCCCTCGAATCCCAGGAAGGGTCCCTTTGGATCCCAGGAAGGGGCACTTTGGGATCGAGTGAAAAATTCTACAAATTACAATCGTATAACTGATTGAGATACGTAACCTTAAATCCTCGACCATGGGACGCTTTGTCTGTCTTAAAATTTTGTCTGTCTTAATTTCAATATCAAAAAAATTAAATAAAAATTTATTTGCGTAATTATTTGCCTCAAAGCTCTGCCTCCCACCCCTGAAAAATTTTCTGCAGACGCCCATGGCTCGGGCAGTAGCGTATCGTAGGGGGGCGGCAAAATTTCGTTTTGGGGGGGGCAAAATTTGACAATAAATAATAATAATATCTTGTAAGAATTTGAACCATTTTATTTCATATTTTCGTCCACCTACGATTCGGACCGATTGAAATGAGCACGGAATAGTGGGAATAGTGTTATTATCCAACTCGCCGTCCGGGGATATCGTGCGCGACCTGTCGGCCTTTTTTTTTCTTCTTTGCTCGTACGATTCGTTCGTACTCATATACACCTCCAATGGGGCTAAGTCATGTAGATTACTTACGTTACTCCTACCCAAGTCTCTCTAGTCACTAACTGTAACTGATTTAGAACCAGCATGCACTGCAAATTATTCTTCATTGCAAAATGATATACGCATGCGTCAGGAACTTCTGTTCGAACAAACCTCACCTGCCGTCAGGGTCGGCGATTTTAAAAAAGGTGGCAACACTAGCACGGAATTTTTCATCACTTATTCTGTGACGAAACTGAATTTTAGTCTTTTAAATTCAGAAACCTAAATAAGGGGGCGGCGAAATTTTCCTCCGCCTCGGGTGGCTGACACCCACGCTACGCCACTGGGCTCGGGCTATTTCTGCATTGGGAATTAGTTCTGCCCATTACGCTTATGATTAACAATGTGGGTCACTGATGGTTTATAACTCTTCATCGTACAAGCCCGTTATGGGCTCAGCAGGAAACCACTGGGTGATTTTTAACTCCCAATTCTACTGGAATTTTTCTTCTTTACGGTGTCATCAGTTCAACAAGACCTACAATATGGACCTCTGAATGAGCAAAGATTTAACCATTCGTACCCGAATCAATTTCTAGTGTCCCGAATTAGGGTCGAACCCAGGCTCCCAAAGGGTGATTCCTTTACCATTTTCGCCATATCAATAACGTGGACTTTTGTATTGTAAATTTGTATTTATTGCTTTCTAAGAGTGCCCACATATGGCCGAGTGGATAAAAAAGCCACCGAACGGTGGTAGTTGATCATAAGTTAGCGCCTCGCCAACAGGATGGCTACGTGGAGTTTTCTGGGTTTACGTATCTAACACCTTAATAGGGATCAGTTTCCCGTAGAAAGTCCTCTCTTCCTTTGGCTTCACGTTTGGTTCAGTTTATTTGGTTACGGCAACGCGATACGTGGGCGATCTGCCAAGGATGAATGCTCTTCGGGAGGACTTTTATGGGAAATTGGCCCCTATTTAGATGTTACAAACGTGAAGAAAACCCATAAAACTCCACGTTGACCAGGCACGAACTGACGATCAACTATCAGCGTTCAGTGGTTTTATCCACTCGGACACTGGTGAGCCTTTGGCTTACCGGTATTTAAGTGGATTAATAGGGGTCAAGTTTCAATAGAAATTCCCCTCAAATGGACTACTCCCTTGGTACTTTCTATAGTCTTCTCGGAAGGCACTACTTTCTCGACAGATAGTCCATATTTTCCATTGCTTTATCCTGTCACTCCACCATATAAACACATATTAGTCTATTATAAATTATTTAAAATAAAAATAAATAATAAATAGAGAGATGATAAGTAATTAATTTACATTTTATATTATTAAATTGTTAATTTTTTCACAATAATAATTGATTTTGCAATCGTACTTTTCCCGTTATACGAACGATTTTGTCCTTAGCCATCTGGTGGTAGTTTTTGTAATTACAGTAGAGCTTCGATTTTCCGAATCAATTGAGGACTGTGGTTGTTCGTATAACTGATATTTCGGATAACCGATTTATGTACGAAAAAATAGTTTAACGTATCCGATGTTAAAATTTTTATCCGTTGCGTGTCGCTTCGCGTTGAATTTTCGTCGATGTTAAGTCTAACAAAGACTATTGTATCGTTAAAAATTATTTTTTATTTTGTACAAACAAAATAAATATATTGAAAAATATAAAAACAATAAAAAATTATACTTTAGATGTTAATTTAGTATCAAAAACGTAAAATATTTGAGTAGCCCAAGACATAGCCAAAGATTGAAGCGCCACAGCACTGGCGAAAATTTAAATTTGCCGACTGGAATTCTTTCGGATGATTGACGTTTCGGATGATTGACGTTTCGGATGATTGACTTTCGGAAAATCGACGCTCTACTGTATTATAATATTTTTTTTGTATACGGTAAAACCTGTGCAAAACGGAAACCTACTTAAACGGGAAAAATTTCTTAGGAGTGCAACGATTTTTTGTGTTTAAGAAGAAAATATCGAAGCTATGAAATCGTAAAAATATTCGGTACCGTACGAGACCGGTTTACACAGGTTTCACTGTATTTTTATTATATTATTGTACAGATAAAATGCTGTATTTAAAAAGGTTTTTTCTTGTGAAAAGACGATCAAAATTCCGTAAATTTTTCGAAAATATTGGGATTTTATGAGGCAAAAAGATGCAGCGTGATAAAATATGAACTTTTCTATGGTCTACGTCACAATGATATATTTGACATTCAAAAGTTCGTAGCTTAATTTACATAAAAGTCCACGCTTATGAAAGAGGGAATTGTCTTATTTAACGTCATTAAAATGATCGGTGTAGTAAATTAATTCATTATAATAATGGATTATATTGAATTTTGATCGAACAATTTTATAATCACTCATAAGTGACGTAATATAAAATACGTATGACCCGATAAATGGCATTGTTTGCATTAGATAAAATTTTATGAATGGATTTCACCGATAAAAGAATATTGATACAGGTTATTGATAGTTATTTATTCGGCAGATTATAATTTGTTGAATTCTTATTTTAATACAGATAATAAAACACCTAGAAAAACTTATCTCTCGTACTATTTAATGATTAGATTATTCTTTGAGGATCTTGACCGTGACGTATGAAAAAAAAGATCGCCCTTATTATGGAAATCCTTATTAAAATTCATTAACAAATAACCACTGAACGGTCGCAGGTTCGGGCCTCACCAATGGTCAGCCCATTAGTGAGGTTTGAACCCGCGACCACGTAGAGTTCTCCGAGTTGTTTTCACATGTCTAATATTTAAATTTTCATATAAAGTTATGGAAAGGACCTAAAAAGTGTCGGGGGGTATTTTATGGGAAACTAGCGGCAATTTCCCATAAAATGTTCATGTGGAATTACCCACGTGTTGCGTTGCCTTATTCCGTTAACAATTATATTGACAATGTTATTGTTTACTACAGATGGATAGAGGTTTTATGCAAACTAATGCCTAGTTTTGCTCAAAAAATGCTTCTATTTGCTTACCTATCTGTATTAAAGGTGCTTTATCAGGTAGCGTATTACTCTGAATTTGTAGTGTGGAGTGATGAGTAAAATATATCATTTTCTCAATATACGTGAGAGTTACAAGAGAAGAAAACATTTATACAAAATTAACACTTAAAAGGAATTATTCTAGCGTTTTAATGTTTGTTATAATATAGTATTTAATTAATATAGCTACAAAGGTTATCTTACGTGCGGTTTTATCGCACCGAGTGACCAATCTAACGCATTTAAAAAATTCTTTATTCCTTTACTGTGCTCAATTTAAAGAATTTTTAAAATGTGTTAGATTGGGCACTTGCTGTGATAAGCCCTCACGTAAGATAACTTTTGAAAATATAAATTAAATACTATAATATAATATAATGGAAGAGTTAGAAGTACGAAATAATGTAATAATCTTAATCTTTGCTGTTGTTATTTTTTTCTCGAGCAATGCCAGGCAACAACGTTATATTTGAGTACTTTTATTGATAACAATTCCTTCGGGCAATGAGGGTACTACGTTAATAAATCAGTATCAAAAAAGAACTCACTTGTCAGTATCAGAATTGCGTAAAAATATTGTTATCATGTAAAATATAATACAATAATTTATAATATATTTTTTTATTTTTAAATTATTGAGACATTTATAAGATAAATGAAACCATTGTTAGATGAACCGTTGTGTAATTACGTTATTAATTTACGTTATATTCACATTTCAACTAGAAGACAAAAGGCTCTGTGATATAATTAAAGAGCCTTTCCGCCTGGGGAGATAGAGTTATCTTTGAACACTATTCTATGGCTGCTTTGATGATTATCACCATTGTCGTCGTCGTCGTTTGCCTGTTTGATCGACGATCTGAAAGAAGAAAGCATTCTCCTTCTGGATTCTGTCCTAGTCTTTTCCCTCTTCTTTATCATTCCTGCCAATTTTTCTGCGAAAGATAATAATACTGGTAACAAAAAGAGGGAATTTAATGTTGCAAACATGATGATCATAAATACTATTTTGAAAAAACAATGAAATATATAAGCCGGAGCAAAAATCAGAGGGACGACACTTAAAATGGTGGATGCGCTCCCTTGGAAAATGGGCATTCCTATATGTTTCAAAGTTAACTTAATTAAATTTTTTCTATTCTTCTTTTTACAAAGTACGTAGGTGTAGGATAGGTGAGCCGTGTAATCTACGGAAAATCCAATGCAAATGATTAAATTTAACATGGCCACCGTATCCATTTTAACATTCCAAAGTGTCATGTAACCAATAACGGTAATTTCTACTGTGGCTATTATAAATGCGGCTAAAATAACACACGTGATGTTTGGTATGAACAAAGCGAATATTATAATCATTGTTACTGCTGTTATGGTTATGGCTTGGAATGTTACGCTACCGACCAGAAGGAACTGATCCAAGAACATGAACATATATTGCAAAAAGTGAACTTCGTATGGGTGCTTTTCCCCAATTCTTCTGAGATCTAGAAGCATTTGTTTTTCTTCTTCGATGGTGCTTGTTATGTTGCTCTGTATCAAATATCTGGAAGCAACGATCTTCGTCCCGTTTTCATTGAAAACGACGTCGCTTTTTAATTTTCTGCATTCAGGAATCTGGAAGAAAACTTCCCGAAGAGCTCTGTTGAAATCATTTTCTGAACTTAAATTGTATGCACGTAAAAAGTACGATGCAGTAAAATCGCTTTGATACTTTTTAAATTCTCGAAGCCAGCTCTCCGTGTAGATATTACTAGTGATGAAGGGAGTAGATTCTATCTCCCTTAACATGCCTTCTATTCTGTTCTGCACTTCGACGTCAGCATAGTTCAGTGGCGTGTTGACAATTACCTGTACTCTACTCTTATATTTGCTGAAGTACTTAGTGTCGGCTTCGAAAAATTTCGCTATGAAAGAATCGAAGGGGAAGAACATTTGAAAGTTGACACCCTCTTCTAATTTCGTGCTAAAATACATACCGACCGCTAAGTAAACACTAAAAATGATGATGATGAAGATTTTTACACTGGTATGCTCCATGAGTCTTCCCAAAACTGTGAAGAAGTATACGAACGGTGAAGTGGAGTTTGAAGATGACGACTGACCACCGTAGCACAGATACTTCTTGATGATAGATCTTGGCCTTTCTAGAAATAGGAAAAGGTAATATACATATGAAATGGGTGAAGACAATTTAGAAACATCCTCTTACCTCCATTAGAGGCATCATCTTACCTTCAAAGTTTTGTTTAATTTTGAAGAAGAACAATCCGTGGCGATTATTCTTCTCGGCGTAACCATATAATGCGAGCCAACTACCAAAAAATGTCAACTGATATATGTACGATAATAAAATCGATGCTGCAGCAAACATACAAAATATCCGTATGGCTGGGAATGGTGTTACCATTCCTATGCAAACGCAAATGAAGTTCGTTAATGACGTAACGGTTATGGAAACTGCAGATTCAGCGTAAGCTTCTCCTAATCTTTCTTCGACACTCTTCTTGGATTCGGTATGCCTCCATGCTGATAACATGACAAATGTATCGTCTATACCTATCCCTGTTTATGAAACAATAATATATTTAAGTATATAATAAGAAAGTGGAGTAACAATGCCGCATTCATCATATTTATGGTATGCCTTCCTGTACCTCTAATTATTTTGAATGGCCAATAAGATGAAGTATGCTTATCAATTGTTTACAGTTTTATGTTTATAAATTTGTAAACAACTCTTTATAAATTATTAAAATTTAGTTTCATATCTTAATTGCAAAATTAAAATTTTTAAGCCATTTAGAATCTTTAATAACGGCCACCTCTCAACAACGGATATGTCTAAACAGTGGCCTTTTTTCGAAATTTCTTTTTACAGAAAAATTCATATAAAATAACTTCTATACAGCGACCATTTTTATTCTACCCCCCTCGTGGTCATTATTTACAGGTTTGACCGTAGGTATGTTTATATTAATTAAGAGAAAAGTCAACTTACCCAACAACATAAATGGCACCGTGAGAGAGATATCGATGAATGGTACTCCACAAAATATAACAAAGCCAAAGCCACTTCCGAGAGCCAAAACAACAGATATTATTCCCACAAATCCCATCCAAGGCTTGCTCACCACCCAATCAAAAGTGCAGCAGGTGACAAAAGAAAACACTAGCATAACAATAATCAGCATTATGTATAACGGTATGGCAGCCATGACTGTGTTCGTAAATTCTTGTTTAACCGCTTTGGAAGAAAATTTATAAATGGTCACGTTATCGAAACTCAAATTTTCCATTGCTTTTAAGAACAAATCTTCCCATTCCATACTTAATTGTCTCTTCTTCGTGTCCGTGGAATCCATGACGTAAAGCAAGCGAACCGCTTCGGCGGAAGTGACATAATCGTATTCGTCCACAATCACACCGCCCAGATTAACGACGTACGGGATGATTGTGTATTTAGATGACGAAATGGGGTATTTGATTATCCTGTAACCTTCGTGGATCTTCACTATATGATCGCCATGGACTAGGATCTCGTTTCGGAAGCAGGACTTGCCATACTTGGCGCACAGGTCTTTGAAGGTCCACGTTTCGTTACCCTTCACTAATTTTATGTCTCGAATAATTCTGTCCATTGTCATGACTTTGTCGTAATAATACTCGCGTAGGACGGAACCTCCGTCGTTTGCTGTCATGATAACTACCACGAGGTTATTGAAGTCTGGCATTCTACCCAAGTCGAAATCCATGCTGTAGTTCATGCGAAATTTTTCGTTGATCAGATCTTTGGCAATCAGAGATTCGCTCTTGATGGGGTTGTACAAGTATTTAAAGTCTTGCTCGTACCAGACTCGATAGAAACCCGAAGTCATTAAGGCACTGGCTATTAATGGAACGATGATAAATATTTTTGGATTTCGAGCGATATAGGTTCCAAGTTTCTTGTAAGATTTCGAAAGGAAGTCGTTCACGAAGTTACAGTTCATTTTTATCTACAAAGAAAAAAATGGGGGATGAGAATTATTAATGAATATTAGGTCAAGTTAAGGCCCAATCCTCAGCAGTTTTCATGGATGATTTGATAGCATATGTTGGTCCCTGCCCTTTATCATTCGTGTGTCCCATTGTGAGCTTGGACAAATGCGTGATGAGCTTCCAAAAGTAACACTAACTAATGGCGAATTAATGAATGAATGAATGAGCGCAGGGACGGATTTAGAGGATGCAGAGGACGCAACTGTATTTCCTTCTGAGGTTTTCTCCGGACTAAAGCCGGGTATCTCAGGTAAAAATTTTGGTATGCTTCAATTCCGCACTCCTTCTAAAGATTGACTATTGGATGAGTGGAAGAACGACCATATTCCAAGAATGTTACGGTTTTATCACTCAAGACGGCGCTAGTTTGTCGGTTAATAACTACAGCTGTGTTGTGTTACGTGATCGTTCTGTCAATTAAGGTCATGTGACGGTAACGCAGTATACATTGCGTTGTATAAAGAGGTATGTCTTTTATTTGTTCTATGTTTGATAGTTGGTCATATTATGCGCAGTAAGTTTAGTTGTTATTGTAATCTCTTTCCCATTATGAAAATATCTGACTCTCTTGAAGAATATGAGCCTAGAAACGAGGATATTTTGGAACACAAAAATTTCCAGACTGCATAATTTCGATCACGAAAATTATTTTTTCGTCCATTATATATAACAGAGGAAATGTATGGTAATCGGTCAAAAAATGACCACCCCAAGACTCATTTTTCGGACTTAGGGCACATTGAAACGCCCAGAGATGCAAAAAATATGGATTTTTTTCTGTATGTATGGATGTTAGTGTGTGTATGTATGGGGAGCTAGATTTTCTTCACTCAGTGTGAAGCTTAATAACTTTTGTGCCTTTAATCCAAATTTTCTGAAATTTTGCAGGGTGGTTTCTGTATTAGGGAGATTGATGCTATTAAGTTTTTGTGGTTTAAGGTCGAGGGGTTAGGGAGATACAGGGGATCATATATCATATCTGGATGGAGTCAGACTTAATGAAAATATTACTTTTTATCAGCATTTATAATTTATTTTTTAAATAAAATTCATCTCTATCTTCAAAATTAAGCTTTTTACCATTTCATAACAATTAATAACATAAAGAGTTTTTTAAATAAAATCTCGTAACAGATGGCGCCATCAAACTTTTAAATGTTTTTTACCGAGAAAGTTACGCAACTCGTTGCTGGATTTAAAAAATATATATTTATGCAATTAATTCAATTAAAATAAATTTCATTATAACAAATTTTATGTTACATTAATATACAAAAACATAAATTAAAAGTATGATGTATGAGATGAATATACCTCGTATATCAAATGCAAACAATATGTTTACATTTTACTAATGAATTGACTGAAGAGGGAGGTAATTTATTGTGTGTTGAATGAACCGACTCAAAGGGGGTCAAGTGTAATACATTTATATATATATATATATATATATATTCCTAGTGCCTGTGGCTGTTTCCTTGTACTTTGATTTATGGTCATATTAATTGATAACAATGATATTATTGTTCAGTTATCCGTGCCTAAAATCCAAGCGTGAATAAAAACATTAACCGTGAGCATACTTTCCATTATTATTTTAAACAGGAAAAATTATAATGCGTTACAAACTCAATCGGTTTTAAATTTTAATTAAAACACTCCATACCCGTGCCATGAAATCTGCACAGTTCCTTATGTTGCATGAGGATTTTTCAAGAAAGCATCAGCCTTTAATAAAATGGTTAATGCTTGATGGTTGTGTAATGAGATAAAGCAACTTATGGGCGATCTTCCAAGTGGGATGCCACTCGGAAGGACTTAATATCTAAATCCTTTGAGAGTGAATTTAGTAGACTAGCGGCATCGTTTCATTTGAAACAGATTATGCCATTGGTTTGCTTACTTAGCTTCTTATTTTTATGTTAAGTAACTTATATATTCAATTGTATATATTTATCCCAAACCATTTTTATTTCTATTTAATTTTTTTCCTGTTTAATCCTTCATAAAAAGGGGTGATATAAGCCTCTCTTAAGGTAATCGACTTTTCAACGAACACTTTCCTACCGGTTAATTTCTTAATAAATATGATAAATTTGTAGGATAACTGTTAAATGGCATTACATTAATACTTAATGTACAGTTTAATTCGGTTTCCTGAATTTGAAACATGATAAATTATATAATTACCCGTTAAATCTATAATTACTTATCGGGAAAAAAGTCAAGAAAATATTCACTTATAAACGTTTCTTTTAATATATTCCTATTACTTTGTCGTTACATCCAGTAAATAATGCAAAACTAAACATTATAAAATAAAATACAGGCAGGTTAAAAGGACCTAACGTTTAACTTATTGATCTAACGCTTAATTTAATGATTTTAATCAGTAATTTTGATGTTTGCTTGCTTAAATAAGGACGAGGAGTACGACTCCTCTTCCCTGTAAACGATGTTTGATGATATAAACATAGAAACAACTGACGAGGGTCGAAAATAAATTTTAACGTGGCGAATCAATCATGTAAATTGCATCATCATGAAATAAATAAATGATTTTTCAAATCTAACGTCGATCATTGAGAAGATGCAAGAACAAGAGCAAGATACAGGATACAAGAGAAAACTATGAGTAAGACCTTAGAGCAAAAATACAAAAGGAATATGCACGAGCAAGATATAAAAACAAGACACAAGGGCAAATACAGGATGCGAAATGCAAGATCAGAAAAATTATTTATACGAAGAAAATGCAGAAGCTGTTGTATTTGCTTTAATAAATAAAAACAATAAATTAATAAGAAAAATTCATTAAAATTTCTGAATATAATGAATATATTAGACATTATTCTATTGAACAATGAACATTTTAAGTGAATTATTTTCTGTTAACAACTTAAAACAGATTTAAAACGCTTCAAGTAAGTAAACACTTACCTTCCTGATTGGTTAATTTCTCACACACGATCATTTACAATAGTCATAAGCAGGACAGTCTAAAATTTGGTATGGGGGCCTGAAAGTAATACGGGTCTCTTTAACCCTTAGATAGGAACCACTACGGGTCCCTAAATATCCTCTAAAAAATTCCCAGATTCCCTCTCGCGAGTCTGGTTATAAAAGTGATTAATTCCTTGTCACGTGCATATTTTCCTCACTATTAGTGAGGAAAATATGTACAGTACAGTAGGTGAGTTAGTGAGGTATTAAGCTTGCTGGCATGCTTACGGTTTAAATCTATCAACAGATACATAAATCAATTTTATGAAAATATAACATGCACCTATAAAACATAATCATGTGTTCTATTGTTTCCTTGACGAGAGGAGTAAGCGACAGATGGACTTTTATTACTATTATTGTCTCGTAATTTATGGTAATTTATCAGTTCTCTCATTGTTAAAAATTATATATATATTTTTATCTTATGATATATTAGAATGATTTCCAGTGCTGATGCTAATTTTTAAAAGTAATTATTACAATGGGATAATTGTCGAAGTATTGTTCTTTATTATAATTATTGGATTAACTATTGTATATATTTTTTTATTATTATTATTTTGAAGCATTTTTAAAGTAAAATTCACGAAAATTCTTATTATTATCGTATTTTTTCGTCCGTTAAATGTGTTGGAAGTATAGAACAATAAGAATTGAACCGGCAATTATTTTATTTTAGAAAGTTTCCATACAGAAATTTTATTTAGAATCACAGACAAATTATTCGTATGCGTAATCTTTACGTGTGTATTTATGTATATACGAAGCACGATTGAGTTTTCTGCCGTATTTTTTTGTTTCACCCTTCATTAAACAATTGATCCATATCAGTAGCGTAACTGCAATAGGTACTGTACTAGGGGACACGAATTAGAACGTGCAAATCTACATTCACCTTTCTACCGGTGTTGATATAGATAATATGTAGATGAAGAGTATAGTATTGTATTGTATGTAAGTAGCGTAACCAGGGAGCTAGGACCTCTCTTGTTACGCTACTGACTCGTCTAGTAATGATATATACAGGTTACTGTTATGATTTACATACCTTTGTACAGATAATTATACACTAATACATACTTTCTACTTTACGGTGTGTGCATTTGTATCTGCTTATTCGCTGTTTCATCTTTGTTTTTATGTTTATTTACCTTTCTATAGATGCTGACTCATTTTATGGCCTTTCAAGCTTAAACAATATTTCTTATATTTAATTTTTCATATAAATCGTTATGTTGATACTTACGTAACCCCTGAATTTGAATGGATGATATAATTAGCTTTAATTAATTAATTCTTGAGAATCTTTCTTTATGCCCCGTGCTGTAGTAACGAAACATTACAAAAATCACTCCATTCTATACGTAGTAACTGAATAATTTATTAAAATTTCTTTATTCAAAATGCCTGTTTATTGCATCCAACCTTCCTGTCACGAATGTCACCGAAGTCGATTAACGGGAGAAAAAAGGCGAAGAAAGATGAAGATAAAGTTATAAGATGATTATAAGTCAACTTTAAACGTAAAATATATTGTGAAATCTACAGCCAAGGACATATTTAGGGGGAAATGCACTCCCTTCTGGTAGTTAAAAGCTTTCTTTCCGTTCTTCACTCCCTCAAAGATTTCTGGATCGGTTCTTGTGTACGGCCATTTATTTGTGGCATCAGAGAGCCCATCAAAAATCAAAAATTCTTACGGACCCCCTCTGTAAATATTATAACAAAGTGACCATTAATTTCAACGGAATGCTTTTAATCACTGCAAACACAATAGAAAGCACGTGATAGAATTTTAAATTACAGAAGCAATATGTAATTATGTAGTAGTGTTTGGATGTTTGGCAATGGACACTTGACATTAACGCGATAAAATGTATTTTTAATGTACCCGATTAAATGCCGAACGTTGCAAGCATGTGTAGTGTTAAGAAACAAGACATTTTTATTGTTTGTACTTGTTTTAATCATGTCTAACCTCTAATGCCACGGTGCCCAACCCGTAGCTCGCGAGCAACGTGTTGCTCGCGTATCGTTTTAATGTGAGTCGCGGCTCGCGTATTGAGATTCATCACTTTTATTAAAAATAAAATAGTTTTTAAAATTTTAAAAACCAGCTATAAAAATATTTGATTTATTTTAAGGGAAAACCCCTTTGACGACGGCAACATAATTAAAGAAACAATGCTCGCTGCATCAGAAACATTGGTTTAAGAATTTAAAAATAAGAAGGAAATTATTTCAGCTATTGAAGATGTTCAATTATTAAGAAATTCAATCACTCGTAGAATAGAAGCAATGTCTAAAAATATCAAATTACAAAGAAAAAAAGATTTAGAAAAATGCATTGTTTTAAATTTACGATGTGATGAATCAACAGACATCTATAATATTGCCGAAACAAATATTTTTATAAGGATTATCTTTAACGATCTCTCGGTAAAAAAAAAAAAAAAAAGATATAATCTCAGTTTTGGCACTACAAGAAAATACACGTGGAAAGAACATATACCAAGTTATTAAAAACTACATTAAAGAAATTAAGCTGCAGTTCAAAAACTTGTGTCCATATCAACCGACGGAGCATCTGCCACGATTAGTTCTAGTGTTGGCTTCATCACATTATGTAAGAATGATGCTGAGTTTCCAAATTTTTTCATTATCACTGCATCGATTATCAACAGGCATTAATGTACAAAAAGTGTTGCATTATGAACATGTGGCGAAAGTTCTAAAAATTGTAAATTCTATTCGAGCCAGACCATTTCAGAGCAGATTGTTTAAAATACTGACTGATGAACTTGATGAGTATGGAACTTTAATGTTACTTTCTGAAGTTAGATGGCTTAGTAAGGGATGGTTTAGATGGCTTAGAAGTCCTACAACGTTTTGTATAGCTTCTTCCAGAGACAAAACTGTTTGTAGAATCCAGAAACGAAATATACGAAGAACTTAATGGCCATGACTGGTTGTCAGATTTATCCTTTCTTATTGATATAACAATCAAAATGAATAAACTCAGTCTTGAACTTCAGAGAAAACAAAGAACTCTTTTTGAATAAACTCCTGCTTTGGATCAACTTAACTTTGTGAAAGTGACTTATCGACAATGAAAATTTTAAAATCAAAGTTCAGATTCAGAATAAGAAATGAGCATCTAAGTGATTATATGACTGTTACTGCAATACCTTGTGTATCAGAGTACAATAAACCGGCCGAAAACATGCAATGTCAGTCTTCCTATTGATTATCAATAAGTTTTGTTTGTCCTGTATTGTATTTAATTTGTAGTAGATTACTAGTAGTAATAAACGGTAGTAGTGTAATATTATTGTGTTTTCTTTTACATATTGTTGCTGATTTTTTTCAAAAATAAGGTCATCATCCTAACTATGGTGTGGCTCGCCTAAAATCTTTAAATTCTTAATTTGCTCGAGATGGACTAAAGGTTGGGCACCGCGGCTCTAACGTATAAAACTTCGCGGTCACATTATACACGTTTTCAGAAATCAAGGTCACTAGTTGAGTGAACTGTATTCAGTGTAATTTTCCTTAATGTATTTGATAATAATTGAAATAGCTACTAGATATCGCTACTTATTACTTCTCAATGTATTATTTTTCAAATGACGAGCTTGTCCCGAAGTACAAGGTGTCCCAAGGTACAAGGATCTCCCCTATATTTTATATATATCAATGGCACGTTATAGATTCATGAGGACCCAGGCGAATTTGAATTAGGGGTCCCATGTGCGGTGTCAACTTCAAACATTTTTGTTCGGGAATTTTGGGGGTAATCTCCCGGTATCCTCGACCTCTACCAGTTCACCTTGTATCTTGGGACATCTTATACTTCGGGACAAGCTCGTCATTTGAAAAATAATACATTGAGAAGTAGTAAGTAGCGTTATCTAGTAGCTATTTCATTACAACATTCAGAATGCATGACGTAAAGTAGGCCATTTTGACTCTTTCCACCGCTATGACACATCTTGCGATTTTTATAGGTGTTTGTTTTTTTGCAATCCATTTGGATCTGTGATTTTAGAGAGTGACGATTCATGTGATGGAGTTCAAGAGGAAAATAATTGTGTGGGGTGCGGTGAAAATTATTTTACTACTTCGAGCACAGAAGACTGGATTCAATGCGTTACCTGTCGATTCTGGTTGCACGAAGATTGCACCTTTTTTTGAAAATTACTGTCAGAAATGCGGTATTAATTCTAAAAAAAATTAGTAGTAATGTATGTGACCTATATTTGTAATGACTATTGTTTTTCTTAATACAAAAATGAGATTATCTTTGGTTTTCAATCATTTAAATGCCTTCTACAGAACATTTAAGCTTTATACTTACCTGCATTTCCAGCATATGAAACATTTTTGTTAACTGATAGAGCTAATATTGTTATAAAGGAAAAGACTTGGATAAACTATCTTTTTTATCTGACGGAAGTTAAGATTTACAAAAACGTTAAAATTGATTCGTGTCCCAAGGTACTATACAGTACAATCCATGATTGTACCTCGGGACAAATATCTGTGAATAATTATTTGATATTTTCTCTTAAATAAAATAGCTTAGGGTCATGTGTTGCACCATATACAGTGATGTTATCAATTACTAATAGAAATATTCAATAGTCATAAATAAAGATCAATTTGAACTTAAATTATAAAGGTTTAAAGAAAAGTGTCCGAAGATACAAGGATTTCCCCTATACGTTTTAAAATATAAATACAATACATATAAATTAATGTCTTCATTAAACAAGTCATCTAGCCATGCCGAATTGCAAGTTAATTACTCATTGCTTATGACTGCTTATGGGGGATGTTGCGCTCTTCTCTTGAATTTTTGCAAATTGCAACCCTACTGTCGTCCGTCTGTGTGTCTGTCCTTCGTTAATCTCGAGAACAGAGTTAGATGGATGAAAATCGAGCATTTATTACTAATATTATTCAAATTTTCTGTAATTAACAACTTTCTAACCACTAACTTTGGCATATTGTGAAGAAAGAGTAGGTGAAAGCGATTTGAATTTAATAAAGTCGAACTTCTAATAACGGCCACCTGTAAATGGAGGCAATTATAGATTTCCTTACTAAATTGGGAATTAATTAAAAATAAAACTTGCAAAAATAATTTACCAGAAATCCTCCAAACTCCTTTAAAAAAAAAAACATCCTAAGAGCTAAGTCCAATCCACTCGATATAACGAATGTATCTTTGTACTATGGAAGATGATCTTACTTACTTGAATTTGATGTTGTTATTACGAGTTAACGAATCAAGAATAACTGATAAGTCGTGTAATACTTTCAAAACACTCGCCCACTTTGTAGGAATTTCCAGAAAATATGAAGGTTAAAATTCTCATTTTGCGTGTGACGTAGAACAAAGGAACGATCTTCAGTTTAATATTCTGTTAATGATTTATATTTTTAGATTATAATTAATTTTCCTTTAGTTTAATGGAACAGGATTCTTCAAGAATTTTTCAAGGTCTAGCATCTCTTTCTCGTCTTTCTCTGTTATTTTAAAGTTATTAAATAGGCCTATAATATGTACTGTACAGTTATTAATTTATAAATTGGCCAAATTTATGGTTTTATATATATATATTATATATAATTGCGCAAATCGAAAAAATATATAGGTATATATATATTTTGATTTGCGCAATTCATTATTTAGCGAAGCCATTGTGTAAGATTTCGTGCAATGGCTTCGCTACATTATGAATTACGACGTGTTCAAGTTAATTGTTGATAAATGTTATGGTTATTTATTGTTATAAGATGTCTTTTTTTATGTAATTAATTCTAAATGAAGTGTAACGTGGTTTGGTTTTAGTATCGTTTAAATAGATACGGTAATGCAACACATGGTCATCTGCTAAGGGAGTGGCTCTCGGGAGAAACTTTCTATGGAAAACTGTCCCTATTTAGGTGTTGTACACGTGAAAAAAACACGAAAACTCCACGTGGCTATCCTGCTGATTCACATGTGCAATCTGCCAAACGTGGTGTCTCCCGGGGGTAAACTTTCTATTAAAAAAACTTGCCCGTATTTAGGTGTTAGACAAGTGGATAAAACCCGAAAAACTCCACGTCCCGTTGTAGGTGCGAACCCGTGATCAGTGTTTTTATCAAATCGATAATTGGAGGATGGCACAAGCCCAACATGAATTACAATTCTTGTCTTGTTGTAGCATTATATTTGAATTAATTATCCTTCAGAAAGGTCATTATAAGAAGTTAAATGAAAGGTCGAGTATAATACTGAAGCATTATATAAACTGTATAGAAAAATAAAGGTTACACGCAAACTCTCACGTCTTTGCAATAGCGTTATATAAAGAGGATATGGACCTTATACTAATGGTTAAAGACTTGGCACGAGCTGCTGTTTCGCATATAATTTTTCCCACTCTTATAACCTATAATTAAACAAAATGAAAATAAAATAGATTATATCTTGTTCACGACATTATACAGCATCACCACTGCAACAAAGTGTAGTGGTCTTGTTATTGTTATTCATAGGCCTAAGTTTTAATTAAATGTTATAACGGGACGAGTCATAATCGATCTATTATTTCGTGAATATAAATTTGATGTTAAAGTATTCGGCACGAATCATAAGGTTATCATAAGATTGGTTTGGTAGTACACATTTTTATGTGAATTTGACGTCATTCTTTAGAATATCTCATTGTAAACTAAAATAATGACGTCATAATGACACAGCTGTACTGCAAATTATCCAATCAGTTATATAGACGGTGTGAGCGTGTCTACACGTGCATACATGGAAATGCACGTGTATACCTGCGTATGCACGTGGTCTGTCAGTATACATGGAATTGCCTATATGGTACTGTACGTGGCTCTAGCTATGTACTGTACCGTACCATATACGCCCATGGCCAGAGCTATACAGTCACTAAGGAGCGGCAAAAACGCTTGGACCGACCCTGTATATGGGTATTTAGGTATGCACAATACATGGAAATGTATCTATAATACTGTACTGTATATACGTACTGTACAGTACATACCCAGTATTGTACCACATATGTAATTAGAAACAGGATAAAGAAACCTGTTTTTCTAAGAATTTATGAGGATTATATAATTCTTTGTCATCGAAATCATGCATAATTCAACAAATTTTTCTTCCATTGATTCATTAAATCCATTGTTACTCGCCATAACTTGTATTAAAGACACCCGATATTGTATTTTTTTTTTTTTTTTTTTTTTTTTTTTTTTTTTTTTGAATTCTACACCAACACGATGATTTAAATTGCTTTATTACGATATTTTTTCAACTTCAAACTATTTTTTTAAAACATTTTTTTTATCATTTATGGCATTCTGTAAATAAAAGGTATTGTAGTTTAGCTTGCGTGATATAAGCTAATTATAATTTTCCTTAAATTACAGATAAGAAATTATATAAATGTGATTTGTTTTATACATAAACAATCTCAAGGTTTTAGTAGAAGAACAGGTAATGAAAGTATCAGAAAAGTCTGTATTTAATGAACATTATTCGGGTATAGTGTACAGATAATGCATATAATTGGAGTATAATGTACAGATTCTAAACATTCTATTATGTTAGAAACTCTTAAACATCTCCATGAAAATATATTATGATAGAGAATTTATATAAGCTCTACGGTGAATAAATTATAAAACCTGTATTGTTATTTTCGTATTGTTTTTTCGTAGTATCTCTAATTTTCATATTATTTTTTATTAATTACTTAACTTAATTGACACCAACTAAAAAAGAGTTCTTTCAACAGAGAAAAATTCGCATAAAATACCTTTAATGAAACATAATTATTATTCAAATTTGAATAATAATTAT